TGGCTGTCTCTGAAATATATGTATTTTTAACCATGTTTCAACTTCTTCAATTTTCTTCTTTTGGACAGCAAGGTCATTCTAAAACAAGATGAAAAATGTATGAAATGAATTTATAAGTATGCATTACAGTTTCTAAAACTTTAACGATGAAATTCAAGAGCAGCAAACAGGCTGAGTAAAATAACAGCTGTGTATGCGTCTGTTTCAGTTACATACACTATGCTTTAGAAGTAAATGAAGGACAATCATTAGAACTTATTTCCTCAAACAACCAATTTCCCATTCCTTGCAGCATGGAAATAATGAATGATTTTTGATTCCTAAAATAACAACATGATCTTGCAGTGTGATTACACACAAATGCTTTGCAGCTATTGCTAGAACTGATCCTTGACTCTAATACTACGTGGATCTTTCTAAATTTCTAGTCTTGTGACCCAGTTCTTCACCATAGCTGGACTACTAAAAAATTAAATATGAAATACAAGTACTGCATTAACTCATTTCTCTCTCTTTCCTCTAGTTGTGGATTTTCCTTGAATTCATAACTGTCAGATTTGACAACAGATTCAGAAGTTTAGGTGTTGATGGACAGGAAATGTCAGTAGCTTTATATTCTCCAGAAGCCTGCTAGAAGGCATATATCCTACAGATATATAGCACATTATAATCTTCATTACAGACAGTATATAATCAAATCAGAACTTCAATGCCCCCATAAAACAGAACCTATTTAACTTCTGAACAAAAAGGATTACAAAGAAAAGCATCATATGTAACGTTACTAGTAAATTTGCACTTCAAATCTCTCATACCTGAGTTTCAGGTTTGTATTTATCTACCCATGGCTCATCTTGAGACTGGTTCCAGTTTATTCTGGACTTGTTACAAGGCAAATCTACTGAGGACAACTTTGCTCTTTTTCTTGACAGGACTTTCTTTTTGCTGCATCCCGGCACAGCAGGCAGGTCTTTCTTCCGCTGATGATTTCTCCCAGAGTTGCCTTTGTGTGACTTTTCAGGAATCACGCTGGGAGAAATATCTGCACTTCCAAAGAAATCATCAAACGAACAGGCCAACCAATCTGTCGCCTGGTAAAATACAAGGAATTGCTATTGTTACAGCATTACCTTCCCTCTTCACAAGGGTGCAATCTGAAAATCCTATCAGGCACGCACAGAGAATACCCTGTAAAGGCCTTTAGTAACAATGCTTTTTTAATCCGAGTGCAAACTTTCTAAGAGTTAACAAAGTAAATCACACTTTAGATTCGACAGCAGAGCATTTTGTAGCAAACTGGAAACCAGAACAACCTAGAGCAGAAATAACTAACACCACCACCAGCGCACAGCATACACAAGCTGTTCTAAAACTGCCGGTTAAAAACATCGCTCCCACACGAAAATTAAGTTCACATTGCCTCCACTCGGTTTTAAACTGACCGCCTCGAGCCCCACCTCCGCCGGCGCCAGTTGTCGCCCCGCCGCAGTCCCGGACATCCCGGGCTGAGCCGCCGGGCAGCGCCGCGCGACGCGGTGCCAAGCCCCCTTCCGCCGCGACGCGGCCTTCCCGCCGCCTCTGCTTAGCTGCCCGCAGCGTGCCTGCGCGCTAAGGCGCCTGCGCGTGACGTCATCTCCGTGCGACGGCAGTAGCGCAGGACCCTGCACGTGTCTCCTAGGCGACGGCAGCATGCGGCGCCCCAACATCTTGCTGACCGGTGAGTGGCGGGCTGCGCCAACACGGGCCGGGATAGGCCGCGCCGGGCCGCATTTCCGTGTTCACCCGCAACGTGGAGCCGTTCGGGCCGCGTGGCGATAGGGAGAGAGGAAATGGCAGGGCTACGTGGGCTTTGTGCGCCATTCGGCCCTGTCAGGTGGCAGACCACTGTCAGAACAGGAGAGTGGGTTTGTCTTTTCTCCCGTCCCATTCAGAATCACACCTGTGCACGAAATGAGAGTCGTCTTTGTTTACTGTGGTTGGTTTTGGTCCTGTTTAGTTTAAGCGCCCCAGGCGTGCTGGACGTCTTTTTTTTCTTCTCATGTACCTTTTTGCCCCTTTTCTTGTACCAACTCGCTGGTATTCACTGGGGAAAGCTTTCCCCTTGGCTCTACTCCTGGTAGAAGGTTGCCTGAACAGCTGTCTGCCTGTCTTTGACTGCTCTGCATTTGTCTTTAGGTACTCCCGGTGTTGGCAAAAGCACCCTCGGCAAAGAGCTTGCATCAAGGACAGGGCTGACCTACATCAGCGTGGGTGACCTGGCAAAAGAAGGTGGGTGGTGTTACAGGACAGTGCTAGACTGTGTCATTCCTTGCTTCCAATGCATGTGTTATAGAGCAAATCAAAATGTGACAGAGTTCCCTGAATTGAAATATGTTGGGTGGATTTGTTAAAGAGACCCTCTGCAACAATAACTTGTATTGCATTAATTAATAAATATACTTTTATAAATGAAGGGCTACCTTTTGCTGACATCTAGCCAAAGCAAACATGACTGTGAATATTTTTAATAACTCCTGTTATCTCACAAACATGCACAAATCATTTTTGTTACAGAAGAACTGTATGAAGGTTTCGACGAGGAGTATGAATGCCCAATTTTGGATGAAGACAGAGTAAGTTCAGCTTCAAAAAGTAGTATCTTTGTATTGTTTCAACCATTTGTGATCTCATGTAGATGTACCACTCTCTGTTTGTTTGTTATTATTTTTTTTGGTAGGTAATTGATGAACTAGAAGGCAAAATGTGCGAGGGTGGAGTTATTGTTGATTACCACGGCTGTGATTTTTTCCCTGAACACTGGTTTCATATAGTGTTTGTACTTCGTGCAGACAACTCAGTTCTATATGACAGGCTTGAAAGCAGGTATGTGAGGAGAGTAATTAAGTAAATTGCTATTGTGTAATCTTCATCAGAATTTTTTTCTAAGCAGTAAGATACAGGGGGGTTGGACTCTATGATCTCTGGAGGTCCCTTCCAACCCCTACAATTCTGTGATTCTGTGATACTGATTTTGTATAAAAAGTGTTATAGTTTTGTATATGTGAGGCTGGCTCTCAGTATTGTTCTTATTTTTTTAGGGGCTACAAAGGGAAAAAGCTACAAGACAATATTCAGTGTGAAATTTTTCAGACACTTTATGAGGAAGCTGTGTTGTCATACAGAAAGGAAATTGTGCACCAATTACCCAGCAACACTCCTGAAGACCTAGAGAGAAATTTGGATCAGATCGTGCAATGGGTTGAGCAATGGACAAAGGACAACAATTGACAACTGGAGAAAAAGCAACTGTTCTAGTTTTGATTGGGATAGACTTAATTTTTTAATTTTCTTCTTTTCAGCTTCCTATGCTGCTCTGCCACCATGGATTGCAAATAACAAAATGGCTTGGTTTGGAAGGGGCTTACCTAGTACAGTGCTGTTCAGTAAACAGCTACCTGTTGGGTCCCTCCATCTCAGCCGTCACCAGTGGTCTCTCTTTTGATCAGCATTCTCATCAGCACTTCAGGATTCTCAGGATAAAATATTTCCTGACTCATTTCTAACTCTGTAATCTGGTACAGGGTTCCAGACCTAGCTTCTGTTTATCAGCCGATTTAGCCAGACTCAAAAATTCTGGCTTACTTTCTGAGATTAAGTCACGATCTATCTCTTGTTCTTTTTCTTCTAATTTAGACTGCAAAACTTCTTCCTGATCTAATTCATCTTCCAGTGCCACATGAAGTTACTAACTAGTAGCTACTAACTAAGCTACTAACATTCAGCAGCTAATAGGATCTGTATGCTTTTCATTTATTCCTGTAGGATTTAACCCTTTCATCACTAGTTTATCTAATAAAACGTGTCTCTGGGCTGTCACCAGTGCTCCTCCCAACAAAGTATGCACTGTGGCTTTTCTTTATCTGGCCACAACTTTTGATTTTTTTGCAAGTGCTGTGATTCCTTCTGCTATAGCTTTGGGATTGTGCCAGTTGTTCAGAGCCCAAACCATTCCCAGTGGGGAAGGGCAAACACTATACCTTTTCAGATTTCCAGTAATGGGAGAAGTCAAACACCAGTGTTTCCTGGGCAACCATGGCTTGCCACTGCTCATACCTCTCCCATTGTATAGCCTTCGTGGCATATAGTTGAGAGATTACTTCCCACCCACAATTAGGTATCTTCCAGCTTACAACTTTGCTGGCAGTTAGCAGGATTCCCTCATTTTGGAAGGTCTGAAGGCTACCTCTCAGCTACGTGCCAGCCTACCATGGGCAGGGTTGCCATTCAGCAGATCAGGCTGCTCAGGGCCCTATCCTTCCTGATCTTGAACACCTCCAGGGATGGAGGATCCACAACTCTGAGCAGCCTCTGCTAGGGCTTTACCACCTTCTGGGTGAAGAATTGGTTCCTATCATGTAACCTAAATTTTTCCTCTTTCAGTTTAGAGCCATTCCTTTTGTCCTATTACTATTAAACCATGTAAAAACCAATCCCCCTCCTGGAGCCTTCGTGCTAAACAAGCCCTATTTTCTCAAAATTTTTTCATGAGAGAGATGCTCCAGCACCTCTGATCGTGTGGTCCTGTTCTGGACCCACTCCAACAGCTCCACAACAATTCTTTCTGTGCTGTGGCCCCAGGCTTGGACACAGTGCTCTAGATGGGGCCTCACAAAAGCAGAGCAGAGAGGGACAATCTCTTCCTTTTCCCGGCTGCTACTTATCTGTTGATGCAGCCTAGGATATAGTTGACCTTCTGGGCCTCAAAGGTACACTGCTGGCTCATGTCCATCTTTTTATCCACCAGGACCCCAAAATCCTCCTCTGCAGGGCTGCTTACAGTGAGTTCTTCTTCCAGTCTTTACCTCTGTCTGGGATCACTGTGATACAAATGCAATTCCTTGTGCTTAACCCTGTTGATTCATGTGGGCTCATTTCTGATCCTTCTGGATGGTGTCCCTCCCTTCCATCCCTTCCATTGTGTCAACTGCACTGGTCAGTTTAGTGAAACCATCAAACTTACTGAGGGTACTCAATCCTACTGTCAATGTCATTGATAAAGATGTTGGAAATACCAGTCCCAAGATGGACCCCCAATGGACACCACTTGTCACAAGCCTTCATGTAGACATAGAGCTGTTCATACAACCCTGTGGCTCTGACTATCCAACCAATTATTTATCACCCAATAATCCACCCTTCACATTCCTGTCTCCAGTTTGAAGATAAGAAAGTGTTGTGTGATCATGACAAAAGCCCTGCACAAGTCCAGTTGCCTTTCCTTTGTCCACTGATTCTGTCAGGTTACCATAGAAGGCCACCAGACTGGTCAGGCAGGATCCGCCCTTGGTGAAGCCATGCTGGCTGTCTCAGATTACCTCCTACATGTGCTTCAGTGTAGCTTCCAGGAGGGTCTGTTCCCTGATCTCCCCCAGCACCGAGGCCAGTACAGAATGCTAAGGTTCACAAGAAACTGGGATCTGATCCAAACTGGGATGGGTGTCCCATACCGTGTAGTGACATGGAGAACAATAACACTGGGGAGAGTTGGCTGAGGGGTTGCTGCTGCTTGGGAATTCTCTGGATGTCAGTGGCTGGTGAGGAATTGCACTGTGTGTCACATGTTCTGTATATTGTGGGGTTTTTAAATCATTATTATTAAACTATAGCTCAGTCCCCCACAGGCGCTACCTTTTTTTTATTCCCCAACACTATTCCTCCATCCCACAGTGGGTGGAGTGAGTGAACAGCTTTGTAATGCTTAGCTGCGTGCTGCTTTAGTAACAGCAGCAACTGCTGCATCTCTCACTGGAATGGTTCAATAAACCACATTTGTAACTCTTACCTGATAAATTAAAATCAACTTCTCAGTAGTTTGTTATGGTTGCAAACTTGGAAAAAAATAAATAAATCTAAACGGCCAAGCTATAAGGCTTTGGAACAGCCTCCAAAACAGCACGGGTGAGACGGAACTGACACTGGAAGCAAAACTAAGCGGCTAATGAAACCACCCTCGGTCCCGCAGCGCCTCCGGGGCGGTGCAGCCGGCGAGCCCGCCCCGGAGCTGAGGGGAGGCCGTGCCTGCCGTGCCTGTCGTGCCCCGATCCGGTCACTGAGCCTCGGAGGAGGAAGGGTGGCGAGGGAGCGGTGAGAGCAGCCGCCGGCTTCCCGCTGGAGAAGGGGTCTGACTGCCTCGATTGCAGACAGCACCTGGAGCCTGGACAGGTAGCTGAGAGCGGGCTCACGCGGAGAACTGCAGGTTTTTCGCTGAATGTTGCTTTGCCGCTTTAAGTAAGGAGCTCTGTTTGTTTTTTCTAGGTGGAAAAAACCTGGTGTTTTGTTAGGGGAGGTGTTCACATGGCCAGAAAGTGACGTGCGCTCCACTGAAAAAGAAAAAAACAAAAAACAGGTGGAGGGTAAGATGGAGGAAGCAGAAGAGGATGACATGGCATGTGGAGACTTGGGGAACGGACTTGGGAGAAGACCTGGAGGTGTTTATGAAGAGGAAAAATTACAAAACTATTCACTCAGATCTAAGAAGGTGTCTGTGAAGGCTTACAACTCTCTCTCATCAATAAAGGGAGTGGAAGAAAATGATGCTTCCCCTTTTCCCTGTTCCAAAAGAAACAGTTTTCATGATGGATCATCCAAGAAGCCTCTGTCTAGTTTGTCTCGACTAAGTAGCTGTGGTAAGGCTAATTTGGAGTTCAGTGTTCATCAAGAGAAAAATTCCTGGCAAGACTGAGCATTGCCTGGAGCCTGAAGGCATCACCAAAATCAGATTCAACTGTTTGCCAAAACCCTCAGAAGCTGCAAAGAATTCCATGTGCATGTGCCTCACATGCTTCTTGGAGTCCAGTGCTTCTTGGGATTGCGGGCAAAGTCTTCAGGTCTTCTGTCAGTGCAGCTGGCATTGCCGCAAGCGCAAGAAGTGCTCTGCCCGTTGGAGGCAGCCACATAGTCGCTGCATCTGGGTCTTCCTCTGCAAATACTAACAGAAAAATTGCCTTGCAGCCAGTCAGGCCATGGCCCTTCTTGGTCCGTGTTAATATTTGGTATTGACCTTGAAAGAGAAGTCCTGTGGTGGAGGACAATATAATTGTTCTCTAAATGAGTACATTGCATTGAATTGTTGGGGCTCCTCCTTTAAATGTGTGTTCCCAGAGTCCGCTTCTGAGGTTTAGGGCTAAATATTCAAACTCCTGTTTGCTGTTTAGCTGGAATTTGTAAGCTAGCGTTGTTTAAGGGTAAGAAGTTAGTTTTAGAATCTACACATCTCTGTTAATCCATGTTGGCATTGTGGTTTTACCTGAAGACAACACTACTGTGAATAAAATCAAATACAGGCAGGAATGTTCTTCGTATTTTAGCTTCTTTACCTTATATTTTTAGCTGTTATTTGTACTTTGTCTCAAGTATTTCCATGTAACTGCTTGTTTATCTCCCTTACAATAAGTCTGAACTATCCTTAATATATACTAAGCCATGTAATTATTCTTTCTTGGTTTCAACAGTGTCAGTGAGAGGATGCTGCAACTGCAGTGTAATGCTGGTTGGTTTCACTGTCCACCGCTGCTCTCTGTGATGCTGTCTTGGCTGTAGGTCATTCACACAGCAAACATGACTGAGTTCCACATGAAACCAGCTGATTTAGCAGGAGGCTGCACGTTAATATATTTCTCTAATACTTAACTGAAAAAAAAATGATGCCAACAGGAACTTCTTGTTTATGCAAATGTTGAAACTTGCTGGATTGCGTTGGGTAGAATTGATGAAAAGTTGCAATTTAAAATGAATCTAAAAAGTGAAAATATTTTTTGAGTCAAGGTGTTCTTTTTTTAAAAAAATTATTTTTAAATGGAAATTTAAAACTTAAAATTGCCTCTCATGACTGTCTTTTTTCCGATTTTGCTTCTTTAACTCTGAAATAATGTTTCTGTTTAGTGTTTGTGTACTTCTTAGGTTTGCTTATTAGCTCCAGAAGTTAGAAAAAAAAAAAAACAAAAAACTTAAGGATGAAAACTATCCCTGCATGTTCCCTGTTTTCAGGTTAAAGTAAGTTCTTGTGATTTTACTGTCTCCTCTAAATCTTGCAGAATCCAGTAGTGAAGTGTCAAATGAAGAACTAAAGCAACAGCTTCGAGAAGCTCTAGAGGTTAGTAGTGCTACTATGAGCACTATCCTTAAAATCTGCATTTCAATTTAATGTGTCACAGCACATTATTATTATATAGTTATATAGTTATTTCAGCAGTATGTTCAGAATCTTGTATGAATGTGGGTTCTTGAAACTAGAGCACTACTTGGAAGTCTCATTACATTTTATGCCTCTGACTTTCCATGGAAAAAAAATATTCCATATTACACCTTGAAAATCAGAATAGTCTTGGGACTTTTAACCTGTGGTTTCATCAAAATAACAAGTAACCTTACTGATTTTCAATCAGACAAAAGCAACAAATTGGCACTGCTCACAAATGCAACTCCAGTAACATCTGCTGAAGCAAAAGAACAGGAAGAACCATAGCAAAGTGTTTTGGGAGGCCAGAGCTGAACAGTCAAGACCTACCTAGTTGTGAAGGAAAGATAACTATTGAAAGCAGTGAATTTTCACCTATCTCTTGGAAAGAGAAAAAATGCTTCCTTCTGAAAGGGAGAATGCTGCTCACTTCATGGAAGTGCTCTAGACCTGTGCTAGTATATGCAACTTTATTAGCAAGGCAGAACTACAGAATATAGTGGCTTATTTTGTTCTGTTTTCCAAATACACTGGAGGAAAACAGAATGGATAGTAACAACTATTCTTTAATGATTGGGCAAGAGCATGCACTGTTAACATTTCTTCATCACAAGCAAACTGTAAGTAGAGAAAGAATCATAGAGGATAAAGATGAGATTTTTTTGAGGTGAACAGATTTACATTGCTGTTGTAGTCAAGTTTTTAAAGAGATTATATTGGCTTTTATTCAGTGTATCCACTTTATTTTGCTTTAGGAAATTGAAATGTTGAAAGTTGAGCTTGAAGCTGCTCAAAGAAAACTTGAAGGAAAAGATGAAGCCCTAAGAATTCTGCAAAGCATGGTAGGAGTTGTTCAGAGATCATTGGCTTACTTACAGGTAAAGGAAGGGAGCAGAATCTTTCTGCCACTCTTCCTTGTCAAGCCTCCCAAACCTTGCAGTCCTTCTAAGGCTGTAATTTAAATCGTTGAGTCTGCAAACTTATACAGACTCGGCTCTTACACTTTACTACTTTTTCTGCTTTTTTTTTTTTCAATTTGATTGCACATTATAAATATTTATTTCAAAGATAATATGTCCCTTTTCTAACTTCTGCAGGATATACTGTGAAAACACAGTTATTTAAGAAGACTTCACTCTTAGCAAATTCTCAGAATTTTATCTTTGAGGATCCTTGGAGGATCTAGGAAATGCTGCCTTTTTTGCAGTTCTTCAAATTACTGATTTTTCCAGTGATGGAGATTCTGCTGCAAAGCTGAGATACTTTCAGCTAATTAGTTCCATCTAAGCATTAAACACTGCATCAGTCTTTCGTGCATGGATTGTAATATTTTAATTTGCTATTACAGTGCATGATGTTGAAATTAACTGCCTACTTGCATAATCCATTTATAGTTCTGCAGTTTCTACCCTCAGACATTTGTAATAAGTCACATCTGGATTGAAGTATAAGTATGTTGTAACCGAGTTTTCTGAGAGTTGATATTGTGGAAAACCCTTGAAGATCCGATCTTTTTTATAAATAATGCTGTATTTTTTTTTTCAGTAAAAGAAACTAGGTGATTGAAACACAAGTTTGTTATGCAACATAGCTATTTCATTCCTTGAAATTAGAGTTGCTAGTGTCTAATTCTACACACTTCTGGTTAACCAAGAGCATGAGTCTTGCACTGATGTAAAACTGAACACTGGGCTCTATTTAAAGCATTTGATTGATCCGTGATTTTTCTGCAGGCAGTATTTAATAAGGCCACTAGTCATACAAAAGCAATGCTTGAAAAAACTGAGGAAGAAAAGAGAACTTTAGAAAAGGTAAGAGTGCAGTTTTCTTTCATACCTGCACAAAATCACAGATGTTCATTGCTATTTATAAGGGTGGTCATACTGCTTATTTGAATCAATGCCAATCAATACCAAAGTCTATTCCTTTTTTTTTTTTTTTTTTTTTTTTCACCCTAAAGTGTTCTTATTCCTTTTTAGAAGGGAAATGTCATTCTGTCATTCTTTTCCCACTACACCGCATACTTAAACGTTATACCTGAAAGATATTAGAATTCTGTAGTTTTAGTTGTTTTCTGTTGTGAATTTCACAGTTGTTTATATTGAGTTCTTCTATTTCTTAGTTAGCCTGGAACTTCCAAAACAAGACTAAGGAATGAATATCCAATGAGAAAAAGAGGAGTAGGTGGAAGAAGGTGTTGAGCTTTATTAAACTGAGTTTTGTTTCTCTTATTATATATGTGTATATATGTATAATATTACATAGTATATATGTGCCCTTTCTACAGAATAGTAAGGAAAGAGGGAAATGTGACTTCATGGGTTTCCAATTGCAATAAGCTACTGCAAGCAATATTGCATTCAGCAGGGTCTGGAACCCGCAGATTAGTAATGCACTAAATCATTGTTATCTGCTGCCAAATTTGTTTAAAACAACATAGATTGTCAATGTAGGGCACCCCGATCTCTGTCAGTGCCAAACATAGCACCAGCAGTTCCATTTCTTCCCTTCATTGTGAGGATTGTAATGAATTGCTGCTGCCTTCTTTTGCCTCTGCAGGAAATTAATATTTTGCAGTGGGAAATCGAATTTGATCAGGATAGATTTAAAAACATAGAAGACACATGGACAGAAAAATATGACAGGTATTTAATTTATGCTGCATTTCTTCATTCTTCTTTTCCTTTTTCTCCCTTTTTCAGTGCTTTCCTAATTTCCTTCCTGACTTGAGAAGATTAATCTAAATTTCATGCTTGTCAGATTTTTATTTTTCAATGAAAACTACTGCAATTAATAAGCCTCTAATTCTTTATTTGGGTGGCTTTGCTAGTGAGTTTTCATTTTCGTTCTTATACTTTATTGTATTAGCCAGCAGGAGCCAGAGTGTCCTTATTTACTTTAAATGTAAATGAGGTGTGGAAAGTAATAGTATTTGCTTGCATGTGGTAATACCATTTTCAGGTTAATCATTGCTTTACTTCCTTGCATTGTAGATATGAGCCTAAGTACAGGTAAAACTGAATGGTTTGGGGAGAGGCTGATGAACTGGTTCTTTGTTTAATTAAGACTTATTCAGAATGGAAAGAAGGTGTAGTGAGGCAGGCAGTAGAAGCCAAAGCACTACACTAATGATTCAATTGCAAACATGGAAGGACACAAAGTCTCATTTATTTAAAGTATAACAGTATCTCTGGCATCTGTGCTTTAGAGTTACAATTATTTTAGTGGAGTTTCTTACTTAAAAGTTTCCAACTTTGAATCAATGAATACGCCAAAAAGACTTAGGAACTATTCATTTATAAGAAAGATTTGCTAAGATGTTGCATCTCTTTCATCTCTTAACTGAGTTAAAATGCCAAGAAATAACTTTTTAAAATCCTTTGGGAAGGTAGGAAGTGTTGGTAGCAACAAAACTACAGTTAATGGTTGGAAGCTAGAGGTGAAAGCTTCGGAAAGCCACAAGCTGTGGGCTAAAGACAGCTTTGCAAAAACATTCTCCAATATCCAATACACTTGGATGAGAAGAATGTTTATTTCCCTTTCTTCATTCAAACAAAATATTTCAAATTATTATTTGGCTTTAAAAAAAAAAAAAAAAAAAAAAAAAAGTTACGGGATGCTGCAATTACAGGCAGCTGAAGAGAGTGATACACCAAAAAAAGGTATTGCTTTAACACTTAGGAATTTAGATTGCCATTTTTCAATAAGGAAATATATAAAGAAAAACTATCATTCTACAGGTCTCTGTTGTGCTCTCAGTTTGCTACTCTCAGAATAGTATCAAGATACAGGAAGTTTACTTTCTAAAATGAAGACACCAGCCATCTTGTCATATGTCCAATTACAGTTTCCTCTTTTCAAGGAAGCGAAAGGTTGCTGAGCAAATGTTTCAGAGTTTTTCAGTTACAATTTTTATAGAGTTTCTAATAGCAGTGCAGTGCTTAAACTTATCTCCTGTTAAACTCTAAAGCTAGGGGCACTGTGTACTTCCATATGAATTATTGTCTTATTACTGTTTTTTCACACTCACTTAAGCACACATGGGCACATTTAAATTGATAGCATAAGGGAGTGGTTTTACTAAAAAGGCCAGCCTGTTTGAACAGTATGTTATCTGGATTGCAAAAGAAACCTCCACATAAATGCAGAGATTCTTACTATTGCTCCCTGCATAGAGAGCTGCAGCTTGGATGACCAGGAGCAACCTTACAGAAGCTGGTGTTACGTGGTCTCATTTCTGTGCCCTGCAGATTCAGTGCCCATCAGACCAACCCTAGGCAGACCTGCTCCCACAGTGTACTGTGGTCACCAACCCCTGCATTATTCAGAATATCTGGTCGATCTCATCTGTTTGAAGAGGAGTTCATAAGTCTTTAAAAGGAATCCCCCATCGAAAACTGCTAGCTATGTAAAAGGTCATTCCATCTTTATTTCAGAAGGCTAGTTATGAGCAGCTTCAGGATTTTTATTAGACCCTCACTGTCAGATTCAGATCTAGTAACACACCACTTATTATTGGTACAAATATTATTATGGGAAAAAAATCAGGAACTTTTGCATTAAAAAATTCACAAGTGAGGAAGCTGCTGATGTGTGCATAATATCAAATGAACACTCAATTTTTTTTCAGTTTGCTATCTTTTCATATCTAATTTTAATTTCCAGGAATATTAGATACAATGTTTTAACAGGCTAATGTCTTTTTTCTTCCATTTGATTGCACATTTTCAATATTTATTTAAAGATAATATGGCCCTTTTCTAACTTCTGCAGGATATACTGTGAAAACACAGCTCTTAAGGAAGCACTGAAACTGAGAACAGAAGAAGTTAAAACTCTTAAATCTGAAAATGCAAGTAAGATGCCAGCAGCTCTTCCTCTTAATGTATTGCTTTTCTGGAATAATTCATTAGCTATGAATGAAAGTTTCTGTCAGGACAAGTCTCTTTTTATTGGCAGCTGGTATTAGTGGACATTCAGCAACCCACTTTAAATAAACTGGTAGTATTTGTAATTCTAGTTGCATTGTCACTTGAAAAGTGAAGAAAACAAAAAAAACTGACAGGGCAAGTCAATGAAGAAATAGAGCTCACCTCTAGGGGACTCTGGGTGTAGAAGGGAACAAGCTTCTGCATTCTATTAATGTTCTGTAGGAAGGGAGCAGCAGGCCAAGCAAGGCACAGGATGTCTGTGCTACCATTAAAATCAGCACTAGAGGCATACTCTGTAAATCTCTGGCATCCAAAGGCATCTCTGTAAATGGATCATCACATCTAGGAAAACACACAAGGAAAAGCAACTGGGATTTGAGTTTCCAAATCTACATAGTCTCGTATTATCATACCTGATACTTACGCTATAGAACTGTTTTTTGGTTCTTTTTTTTCTTTTTCTTTTTCTTTTTTTTTTTTGGCTGTAGTTGAACTCGGAAATTAAGAAATCAGAAGAACAAACTTTAAATTATTGTCCTCATTTATTTCATAGTCTTGAATCAGCAGCGCTTAGAATTTCTTGTAATGCTTGATGTGAACAAACAGAAGATTGTTCAGGAGAACATGTCCATGAATAAAAGAGACATCACAGATATTACAGGTCTTGAAGTAAGTATGAAGTCTGATTTTTGAAATTGCTGATGACCTTGTGTCCCACCTTGTCATCTGGAAATCCATATTCCAAATCGTATATCTTTGTGATATAAAAGCAGGCTGTATAATGTGATGCATTTACTAATGTTTCTGGAAGTGCTCAGTCTGGCAAGATCACAGTATGAGACTTCATTTCTTTCTTCAGCTTCAGAGTAAAAGTTAGAGGGGAGCAATGTCTGCAGGGGTATGTTTACATGCAGAATTACTGGAATGCAGTATTACTGGAATGCAGTTGTGGCTCTTCCTATGTTGTACTAGCACACTACTTCTACTGCCTTGATTTTCTTGAGTATTTCCATGTAAGTAACTGCTGAGTAGAAAACTTAAAGCCTTTGTGGTGCCGAATTCAGATTAGTTAATTGGCATAATTAGTATCACAAAAGTACTGTGTTAGGATTAGATGTGAAATTAGTGCTGAAAAATAGACATCACGTGTGTCGTTGTTAGTGAAAAAAACTGATGTCCAAATCTTTGTAGCCAAATTTTCCTAACTCCTACACTCCCTCTGCAGCTTCAGGATGTTTTTGCTAGTCACTTGGCATCTCTTGGATTGCATTCCATATGCAGATATATAACTGCTGGTTTGTTTTGGATTTTAAGCTGGCAGTTCTTGGAGCCTGCACCTGCAATTCTTCTGTGGGGCAGCCTTGTCCCTGTGCTAAAATGGCAGCTGTCACTCGGAAGCAAATTCTTCATCTCAAGCAAGAGGTAATGCTGTTTGATTTAGGTATGAGCAAGGAGTGAAGGCAAGAGAACAAATTTGTACAAAAACAAGTAAAGCCTTAAACACTCTCCCATGGCTTACACAAATTGGTGTGTTTGATAACAAGAATGCATCTCAGAAATAATGTTTGCTTGTGGTGTCCTAATTGTTGCTGATGTAAAAATGTTTTGCTAGTAAAAAAAAAAAAAATCTTTCTTGTTTTACTTCATTTTATTTACATTTTTTATTATGAAAATATGCACACTCAAAATGCATACACTCTGTAAATATTACAGTATTTACAATGTGAGTATGAATTGTCACTGAAAAAGAAATTGCTCCTTTTCCCCTCTTTCCTGGCACGGTTTTCCATCCCTTTCCATCCCTCCTTCGTGCTGGCATTAGCATTGAGCTGACCTTGCAAAAAATGATGTATTTACATCACACTTAATACAGCAAAATGTTTTCAAGCTCATGAAGTCTCTAATTTAGTAAATATATAATTTTAGATAGAAATTTTTTTTCTTTTCGTTAGTGTTTTAGCCTGCAAATGTGGTAACCTTTCTCACAGTCCTAATGCAGAAGTCCCACTGACATACTGATTTTGAAAATAGGTGGAATAGAATAGAACAGGTTCACTTCCATCTGAAAGGGCCTTCCAAAGATTTGAGTCCAACTGTCACTATTTTGGGGCTGATCACAATTAAAATTCATCAATAAAAACATTATCTTAGACCTCACAGACAGGCATAAGGCAGCAACTACCTCTATAGAACTTTCACATCTCTTCTGTATCAGGGTGATGATACCTGATAGAAGTACTGTTCTTTTGCTGGCTGGCAGCATAGCCAGTGCAGTGGATAGGTGGTGTTAGCTGCAGGCACAAAAAAGGATTTAAAAACATGCTTCAAAATACATTTCTTTATGTAGCAAGAAAGCCATTATTCTGTTTCTACTTCCCTAATTGAAATCAATCCATTTGACATGCACAGGGCTGCCTTAGGAACTGCTGTGGTGACTTGGTAACATGAATGTGCTGAACTGTGCTAATGGCTTCAATTTGTCTCAATTTAAATTTTAAACCTGCTATTGCTTCCAAATTGCTTAACATACTGTAAATTTTCTCTTAATTAAAACCAGATTGAACTTCTGATGAAGAGTAAAGATGAAGCTTATATAATGGCAGACGCCTTCAGAATCGCATTTGAGCAGCAGTTAATGCACAGGAAGGACCAAGCCCTGAGGCTTGCAGAAGTGATAAAGATTAAAAAGGAAACAAAATTTATAAACTGGAGGCGACTGAAAGAGGATGGTAACTATATCTGTAATGGTGGACTAGAAAAAAAGTCAGCTGATGGGCATGGACAGATATTTTTATTGCATCAGATGTGTGTTTGTGGTCTAATGGCTGACAGATTTCTGAAGAGTTCAGAAAAAAGGAACAAATTTATGTCAAAACCATATGTACCATAAGAAATGCAGCTGGTAGTTCACAAACTCCTACCAGAAGTTTCTTATGTAGAATGTACAAGAGGCTTGTTACAGTAGTCATTATATAAAGATGACCATGATGGCCATAGGACACTGATGATACTAATCCTGCTTTTAGTGTAGCCCTTTTTTAGAATAAATAATCTGTTATCCAGATTAACAATAACATTGCAGATATTAAAGATGTTAGAAAAACAGCACAAAAAACCTAGCATTTGGAAAGGTTAGCTTGGCCATTTAAGATGCTATCAACCATTTCGTTTTTATTTTTCATTGAAGCCTGTATCAGGAAGGATAAAGGCAAAAACACGTACTGAGCTTTTACTGGAATACTACTTTCTTTCTGTGTTTTTTTGTTTTTTGTTTTGTGTGGTTTTTTTTTTAAAGTACTTCAATTTTTCATTATTTGTGTTGGTTATTATTATTGTTGTTATTATTATTATTATTATTATTAATTTTTCTACTACTACTTAGCATGGTCATCTACAATCCCTCTGGAAAAGAGAAAGACTTTTCGTTATCCTTTTTTTGATTGAGAAAAAAAAGTAATGAGAATTGTTTAAGTGCTTATGTCATGGTCAAAACCATAGCAGAAGTGAGGAATAGAATGTACTTCAAAATGTGTTTCTGCTAGCCATTGATCTGCATGTGTCAGGCATGGATCTGTGGATCCTCTGGTTTCCTTGGACACCTCCAGGAAATAATATTAAAACAGGATATATCTCCAATATCTGTTTCCCGTTTATCAGTATCACTGTTTCACAGAATCATAGAATCAACAGAATAGTTTGGGTTGGAAGTGCTGCCTAGGGCCCTGTCCAGCCTAGTGCTGAGTGCCTTGTGTATTCTAAGCTCTGTGTTTTAACACAAGCGTTTCATCATTTTGATGTATTTTAAACATTTGAAAAATCCTATGAACTGAACATATCAGGCTACTAGATGCTTAAAAACACATTGCCATGAATTGTTATTTAGCTAGAAGCAAGATATATTTTTCAATAGCAAAAATAAATAATTTTTATTTTCAATTTGCTGTTATATCTGATGAAAGGTCTAGGTAGCTTTTAAGTGATGGCAAGAGTGGTGCTGCATATTAATAACCTTCCCTAAGATATACAGTAGAAGCTGTAGCCTGCAGTGCCCTTCTAGAGGAAATTGTTCAGAGTTCAGTCAGATGCACATTCATTTTATCCAAAACTAGTTTTTCTCTGAAGTATTTCCAGCATTCTCATACCTTCTGTTGTTCATAGGGTCTGTCAAGTTACAAGGGAACAAGAACAATCTGGGACAGAAATTATCAAGCCTGCTCTCCTCAGATGCTGACAGCAGGAAAGTTGAAGAACTAGACAACCCTCATGAAATCCTGAAGATGTTAATAGATTTGGTTAGTATTACTTCTTAAACTAGATTCTGGGAGAACAAACTGAACTACAGAGTTTTTGTTAATAATAAAACGAGGTAAAAACAAGACAAGGAATCTTGCATGGATACACGTTTGCCTGTACCTGTGAAAACACAGCTTCCTATGCCAGCATCACTATTGCTGTTAAGAGGTCTGGACTGATAGGTTACTGTCATTTTTGGTTGCTGTCAAACTCTGAGTTTGCCAACATGCCTAAGGAGCCTTGACATCATTCTGACATTGTTTTTCTGATCTTTTCATATGCTGGATGTGGTGATCCTCATGAGTCCCTTCCAATGCAAGATACTCTACCATTTACATTTACATGGAACGTTTGGATTTTGTATTTTGTGTTGAGGGACATGTTTTAATGAGTACTATTGGTGATAGGTGGATGGTTGGACTGGATGATCTTGGCCTTTTTCAACCTTGGCGATTCTGTGATTCTGTGATACATGGACTCCCTTGCTCTCAGCTCATGGCTTCTTTCTTCTCTTTCTGTGGCCAACTGCAGGTAAATGACAAAGAGGAGGCCCTGGCTCACCAGAGGAAGGTCAGCTACATGCTAGCTCGTGCAATGGAGCTGAAGGAGGCGGCACAGCTGACGCAAGGCCAGCCTCCCACTGGGCACGGAGGCAAAGCTGAGCAGCCCTGTGGGCCAGCAGCACTGGGACCGGCGTCGTGCTGCGACCTGGCTTCTCCAAGCAGCCTTTCCTGCAGTGGAAACGGGTTCCAGAACTCGGTTAGACAGCTTCGAAAATCACACTCCTGGCCCTGTGAGGCTGCACCTCACGAGAATAGGGATCTGTGTGGGAAAGCACGTGAAACTGTGGTGATCTCGATCTAAGTGTCAGCCGGAATAAATTATTTTTTCAAGGAAAAAAAAAAAAAAAAAAGATTTTGTGGACAACTCTGCAAGCTCCCCCGCTCACACGACCGACTGCGGAGGAGCCCCGATGTGGCAGGCGGGCGGCTCTGCGCGCGCGTCAGCGTACGGTCGTCCTGCGCACGTGCAGAGTCGGCGGGTTCCCGCCCTCGCGGGGGCTGCCACTGCGCATGTGCCGCAGGGCGCGCAGGGAATCGGGGCGCCGTCCCGGAGCCGGGCGGGGTTTGGGCTACTCGTGAGGTGAGCGCCGGGGGAGGGGCGGCTTATCTTTGCTGCTGTGCCGGGACGGTAAAGAGGGAGGAGGAGGAGGAGGAGGTGGTGGTGGTAGTAGTAGTAGTAGTAGTAGTAGTAGTAGTAGTAGTAGTAATAGTAATAGTAGTAATAGTGGACGGTCGCCCTGCCGGGGGGCGGCCCGGGGCGGAGGACAGCTGCGGGGTTCACGCACGGCGCTGTTCTGAGGCCTTCCGCCGTGAGCTGCGCTCTGTGAGGCAGCCCCGCTTCCTCCCGACCCGAGGCGGCCGTCTCAGTTGGGCCTCGCGCGGCGCTGCGGCTCTGGGTGCCTTGGGGCGGCGTGCCTCAGGGGCTCATGTCCGTAACGGCCGTGGAAGTGCTGCACACGGTCGTTCTGGAACGAAGCGAAAACGACGTGGTGAATGTACAGCTTAGGGCAGACGCGGTGCTCGGAGCGATTTGCAGACATTGACGATCTTTTTACTTCTTCTTTTCAGTTGGCATCGCTGTCGGATGCAGAGTTTAATGGACGTGCTTGCGCTGCTCAAGTTAAGTAAGATGTGCTGGATGAACTGGAGCGTATGGGTAGCCCTGTCTGTATTCGGATACAGACTGCAGTGGCAGAAAGCTGTTTCTTGGTATGCCCTGAAGAAATGACTTGTGCACAGGAAAGGATTCAGTTGGCTGCCAGAACCAGATGCTGTTAGTGTCTGATGCTGTACTGCTTAGTTTGTCCAATACGAATGTCTGATCATTAATAATGCAGATCAGAGAAGATGAGAAAGTTAAGAGATCACTGGTCTCTGTTGTCTGAGAAGTTCTTTCACACCTGATCAAATAGTCATGTTCCCGTGGCTTGTTTCCCAAGGCTGAGCATTACAAGCTGATACTTCCAGTAGTGGTGGCACTGTGTGCAGTTTGTCTGTTCAGGTGAGCAAGGGGGGGGGTTGGACTAGAGCTTTAAAGGTTCCTGTCAACTCAAGCAGTTCTGTGATTTTTTTGGAATGGGTTCTTCAGCCATTGGGCCTGTTTTTGTTGGTACTGGTGATGTTCTGGAGCGGTGCTGATAGTCATTAATTGCTGTCTGACATCTATTTGTGGTGTGATTGGCGCTTTTTTCTGGTCAGAAGAGTGATAGTATGTGCCATTAAAGTGGAAGGAAATTCTAGTGAGGCTGAGTACGTTGTCAACATAAGTAGTCTGGTCAGGTTGATAAAATCACAACGCTGGTGACCTTTTGTATTGTTGAAATTGTGTTTCAGCAACATCCATCTTTAGGTGAGGCAGTTTAGTGTTTTGCATCATGCAATTTAAGTTTTTGTTAGGTGTCTGAAAACTTTTGTAAATTTCATATTCATCCCCTTATTCAGCAAGTAGGTTTGCAGTGGCAGCAGCTGCTGTGCTTTTATGGTTCAATAATGTATAGCATTGCTCAGCAAGAATATCATATCTTTTTATTATTATTTTTGTCTGACAGCACTTAATTATTTCTCATTTTTCGCTCTTTGTTGATTGCTGGTGAACTCCATGGGTATCTGTACACCCAGGCTTTGGTGGTCTTTTTATGGCTTTTATTGGTTGGTTGTATGGCTTTTATTGGTTGGTTGGTGGTGGTATTGTTTCTGTCTGCAAGGGCCTACAGTTTTCTAATTCCTGTAAAGGTATTGAATTGAAATAATGTATCATTGTGATGATACAAAAGTCTCTCCAGATGACCACAATAACTGTCCTAATATTAAGCTAGTTTTTAGACTTGAGGAACTGTACATTCACTTGTATTTCTTTGCTTCCATATCCAATCTTTGTTCCAACATGTTCCCTACAAATACAGGCCTGGATTCTTTGATGATGTTTGGTTGCGACTAGATTGATATCTGGTAATGGATATATATATCAAGCACTAGAGGTTGTTTTTCAGGGATTTTTAAACATCAGAAATCTGCTTGTTGCTAGACATACAACTGCTTAGCAAACCATGATGAATTTGACCATTTTGCAAGTTCTTACTGAAAACTACAAATCACCTGCATTTAGAGATACTGTGTTTGATTTTAAAAAATGGCAGTCTACAGTATAGTTTGATGCTTGGCTGTTCTCTATCCTAGCAAATTTGTAATGTCTTCTTATTTTAATAAGACTGCATTGAGAGGTCCCTAACAAAGTATTTTTTGAATCTTAGTATATGTATCCTTTAGAAATTGTTTACGAAGTTTATATAAAGTTGCTTATAAAGTGGGTTTTTTTTTGTTTTGTTTTGTTTTTTTTGTTTTTTTTTTTTTTTAAGTCTGTGGACACACTCAGGCGTGTTACATGGTCATCTAAATCACAACATTTGCTTTTTGTAGGTAACTTTTCCAGTAAAATTATTGCCTCTGTTTCTTAAGGTAGGGTCCAGTATAAAGTGCAGTGTTAGGAGTTAGCCAGTAACCAAGCCTCATCTGATGGGGAAAATAAAGTAAGCAAGCTTTCACCAATCCCATTTGTTCTGTTTAGGCTTGCTTTGTGCCCAGCCTCAGTACGCAAAGAAGGGTGTCAGACCAGGTGCTAATGTACTTGTGCTAAACACTTAACTGTTCAGAGTCCATCCTGGGACTACTGCTGTTCTGCTGGCTTTTGGAATACAGAGTTCACTGTGATTGATGACTACTACATAACAGTTTCATTGTTAGATTTCTTCTTAATCAGCATGGGTAAGATAGGAAAGAGCATTTGTACTGTAAACATGATTGTGGGGTTTGCTCATTAGGTGTTTAGAAATGCAAGCATTAGCTTATCTCTTGTAAAGCTTGGGGATGGATATCTGCAAGGTTGGTATGAAAGCAAGATGAAGGAGGCAATTTTGTGACAGCCACGGTCCTGTTTTGGTTAACAGCTGTGGGAGTGAGCAGTTAACGTTTCAGCATGGACTCTTGAAAGACACAGCACCTAGAGTAAGAACTTTTGCTTCATTAATCTGTGAAATGAATATTAAGTTAAAACCCCTTAGCATGATAATCTCTAAGAATGACATACTAAGCATGTCTGATTGTTGTACTTGACTCTCAACCAAAACTATGTTAAATGTCCCTCTGGGGATGGGGAGCCCGTAAGGTTAGGCTATAAGGGAAAGTTCCTTTAGGAGCGAGAAACTGTTGAAACTGTTCAGTGAAAGCATGGGGGGTGCTGGCAGGCAGACATCACCTGTTTGCAACTATAAAAGCCCTTATGGGGTTGGCCAAGAATGTCAAAACTGTAAGCTTAACATGAGAATGGGAGACGTGGAGTGAACTTGCTTAAAAACAAACCAAGTGCTTACCTAGGGAAGTGAAAAAGTAGTCCGATGTGCCTTTTTGTAATCAAGTAATGAAAAATATTGAAGCTTGGTGATGTTCTATCAGCAAAATAAAGGCTGTTAACTGGTAAATATGGAATTTTGCCAACTCATGTACTTGTAAGCCCTAGTGATAGGTGTGCTCTGTTCTTTAATGAAATTAAATATCCATTAAGTGAGACATAAATAAGACCAAACTGTGAGATGAGAGCTAATGACTTGTAATAATTCAAAATATTTAGATTGTGTCTTATTTATGTCCTTTAATATTTGAAAACCATCTTTTGTGTATTTCTGTCTAAAGAAGTAAGCACCTCAACACTTCATTTGCTATCAGGCCTTGTAGCTTAGTCATAAGGCAGAGAGTAAAATGTCTAAAAGAAATAACAGGCCTTTTTAGCTCAGTTTAGTACTTCCATCTGTGAAAGTCAGTCTCCAGAGCTGGTGTGTAAACTGAGTCACCCAGTTTAGCAGTAACTACCTTCCCCAGTCTGAAATGTCTTTCTGAAAAACAGTTTTCTGAGGTCTTCCCCTTTAAACTGACTTCTACTGTGTTAGAAAGTAGCTGTTAACACTGTGCTGTAGTTGTTTTATGCTTTGGTTATTTTCTTCTGTTTTTGAAAGGGACCAGTACACAATCTCCCAGTCCCCTAGCATATAAATATTTATCTTAGGATGGAAGCATACAGTCTTTGGCAGACAGTGATTTAACCACTGCTTAAAACTTAAGGCTTTCTACTTTGAAAGAATCATATGAAATTGAGCCAATAGGAATCTCAAGTTGTGTGCCTTACTGTGAAGGATTTAAGATCTCAGAGACCGTATTTTAATAATCTATAATCCACTTGGAGACAGTACTGGGACAGGATTCAGATAACTAGAAAATGTGTTTGGAAAACAGCCTCTAGCAGAAGGTTCATGCCTTTCAACCCCTGGAAGGTGGCAGCAGCAAGTAAGGGATTCATTCAAGTCCTGAAGGTGTCTCAGGTGCACAGATCAGGCTTCCCTGTTTTTCTGCCTGGTGGGGTTGCTTTGCTCCTTATCTGCTTTTTCTTCTGGTGTGCTGGCATTCAGTTGTTATGTTTATACAAAGGCCTCATCTCAATGAAAACTAAGGAAAAAAAAAAGTTGTTGTTGCTTCCTGCTCAGTGTAACTGGACAAATCAAAACTCATATGATGTAAGGAATGTTAAAAGGGCAAGTTGTGGAACAGTTCCTCTAAAAGTTGCAGTGCAAAGATCTCTGTGTGTAAACAACTGCAGTCACTGCTTCCACACCCAGTAGTCTCCTTCCTGTGTGCTCATGCGCTTTCCCTGCCCATATAAAACTTCTATCTTAGTTGCTTGTTTTCTTTTAGGGGTTTTTACAGAAATTGCTATGTATTTTTAAAAATACAGTGACACTGCTGCTAGTTTCAGATGGTAGAATTCTTGAAACGCTTACGTTACTTTCAGAGTGAGTGCAATTTGATG